CAAGAGAAAATAAGAACTCACCAGGAGCCAAGGGGAAAGTAGTTCAGTTAATTTTTCTAGCCCACCTTTTTTCCACTTTAAAGGATGTAGGTGAAGAAGCTGACGGGGAGACCCTGGGGCCTCTCAGCACCCTCTAATGCGATTCTAACACATGCCTTTGCAGCACAGAAATGTGACTTAAATTAGAACAGTGCAGTGAACCAAATATAGAAAGACTGCTATCTAAGTCCGGGCATTGGGGCAAGCAAATATTCCTTTTATAAGTTTGAATCAGTTTAAGAAAAAGAAATTGGGCTTAACACAGCTGTTTCTCTGGCGCAACAGGTAGACGTCGTGGACACTGGTTCAGGATGGACCCCACTCATGAGAGTCTCTGCAGTGTCGGGAAATCAGAGGGTGGCCTCTCTTCTAATTGATGCTGGGGCCAATGTGAATGTGAAGGACAGAAATGGAAAGACGCCCCTTATGGTAGGTCCTTCTCCCGAAAATAGGCAGTTTTCTGCGTGGAATTGAGGTCAGAGCTTTTTCTGTAATTAGACAATTCTTGTGAGTTCAGCCCTGCACCAGCCCTTGGGTTTGACTGTGTGTGTGTTCCCTGTCGGCTTGTTCATAAGGGCATGAGGCTATCACTAGAATACTTCGTTGCCTTTTTATGACTATTTAAGGAGTAAAGAGCCCCTGTCCCCAGGACCACTGTGGGATCAAAACAGATCTGGTGAAACAAAGAACAAACTGCTTTCTGTCCTGGTTTTCGTGTGGAGAGAGGGGAGGGTCCATTTCCATTTTCCCTGGAGTTGCTACCCCTGCAGCTGCAGAGGAAGTGCTGTGCCTGCAGGCCACGCAAAGCCACAGTGGCCCTTTGTGGGTTGCAGGGGGGCCGCTGGGACCCTGCACGCGCCAGACTCGTGCTCCTTGCTGTGTGTACCCTGGAGGGAGACGCTCATGCACACCACCCTGGGTTTTCTTTTCTAGGTGGCTGTGTTAAATAATCATGAAGAGTTAGTTCAGTTACTTCTTGACAAAGGGGCAGATGCAAGTGTACAAAATGAGGTAAATGAGTCCATCTTTATGTAAAGATTTTCCTCGGAGGGGGAGAAAGAACATTTATAAGCATGTAAAATTTTTGTTGTTTCCTGTTTCAGTTCGGCAAAGGTGTCCTAGAAATGGCCAGAGTTTTTGACAGACAGGTTGGGATGCTCTTTCTGCCTATCAAGGCTACTTTTGTAGTCCTTCTAGACTCAAACCGCCAAAACCCTGCATTACATTCTCCTGTCTGTTTTGTTTATCCAGAGTGTAATCTCCTTATTAGAAGAAAGGAAAAAAAAGCAGAGGCCAAAGAAGTCTTGTGTCTGCTGATGAGAGCACCACTCATCTGCGAAATGCACGTAAAACAAAGTGAACCGTGGCTGTTAAACTAGGGATGGGAAATTCTGCATCTTGGAGGGCTGTACATTTATTTATTTATTGAAGATTCACTGATCCCACGTTGAAATACATCTTTTTACCTAAGCACGCGCGTATGTGTTGCCATCACTGGGCGTCTGTAGAATGGGGATGTTTTCTTGCACTTGTGTCTTTTGGAGTTAGACATGAAACAAAATATTTATGCACCAGAGCTACACAAACACACATGGGTCTCCCACTCCCGGCTCCTGCCCCGCGAGCTGTCCTCCGACCACGCTAGGCCTTGCTGGAATTCTTTCCCTCATGTGTTTTCAATTAAATCCTGCCCTCCCAACTTAGGGCTTCCAGGCTGGTTGTCAGGCCACTGCTCCCTCCTGGAGTGGTGCTCCTTCGAAAAGCCCAGGAGTTTTCTCTTCAGCTGTTGGCCTCACATCAAAGCTCAAAATACGTATTTCAAGACTCCAGTTCTGTTCTATTAGAGGTGTCTGCTTGAGGGTCAGCCTTCTTAGACCACAGACAGGTCTAATGTGTTTGCATGTACTCAGGCCCTGACAATGAAAGACTTAACCTGCTCATGGATTGACGACGTAGCCAAAGGGTAGTGTATTGAATTTTGTCTTCAGAGCAGAAGGTTTTCTGGTGCTGATTATGCAGTTCCTAGACAAGTAGGAATTAACCGCAACCATGTCTGCTGGTTGGGAGCTTAAAGACACAAATGTGGTAGAGCTTCAACTCAGCAAACATACTTCAAAATCAGCAAAAAAGTTAGCACACAGACCACATGAATTTTATGTCTCCAGAGACACACTGGTTAACTTGGCCCCATGGGAAAACCAGCTACAAAGGTCTGTAGAGGAGTGGATTTTTTTTTTTTTCTGTAGGGAAAGACTAATAAAAGGTAATTAAAGCTCCAAAGCTTGTGCTGAGGGGCATAGAGGAAAAGCACACAGTTTTATTGACGTTAGCAATCAGCTTTATTCCAAAGAGCTCACAGAATATTCAATTTAGGAATTGGATTTGTGGACCATGTATAGTCCATTCCTTAACTATTTCATGAGTGTTTTACCTTTCGTACAAATGCATATTCCTTTAGATTTGCCAGATTAGATTTTTAAAACCTCTTTAAAAATTGGACCACATTTACAAGTCTCCAGAGGTTCCTCCTTTGGTTGGTGGTCAATGTTGACATTCACCTTAGTTTCATTTTTTGGTCTGTTGTAGACTATATTCACTAGCCTGCTCTATGGAAGAAGTGTGCATCCCTTCTGGTTGACATCAAGCTTGGCAAAACTGCCCACCCTCCTGATCAATATCGAACCATCCTTATATTCTTGAGATCATCTCCCTGGGTTATGGTGGACTGCAGGATTCTTCATGCTCATATGCTATGTATGTTTGCTCTTTTTCTTCTTTTTGCTTAATGAGATTAGAAGGTGGTCTATATATACTGTTTGAATTTTCCCAATGAGCAACTCATAGTTTTATTAGCTCTACTTTTTTCTAATGAACTTATCCTTAGGTCTACAAATTCATTTCTATTTTTTCCCCTAGGTTTGTTTTATTGTTCCTTTTATAACTTATAGTAGATATTAAATTCCCTTTTTCATCCTTTACAAATTAATATATAGATTTAGGGCTATGAATTTTCCCCCAGCAGTGCTTTAGTTACATTATTATAGAAGTTTTCTAAACTTTTGATGAAAAATACAACTGGGAGAACTTGCAAAGTACACATTTCATAGTCCCATCTCAGCTCTTTGAATTGGAATCTCCAGGGAAAGGGCATGAGCAATGGATTTTAATGGGTTTGAACAAGCATCACAAGTGAGTTCTTCTGATTCCAAGAGTTTGAGAATCCCTACCATCATGTGTGCTATTACAAATGTTTTCACTTGCTGTTTTCTAATCTGCAATTCATCTTTGAAAACTAATGAATCATTACATTTCTAGCATATGGAATTATTTTTTGAGAATTTTTTCTCCTCCAAGGCACTTGGAAAGATGATATATTCTGTATATTTGGAGTATCCTGTTATATATATATGTCAATTATGGTTGAAGTTTTATATGTACTAATTTTTGCCAGCTTGTGTGATCATAGGTGGAGAATGGTAAGAATAAAGACTTCTTCGGCTCGGTGTGGTGGCTCACACCTGTAATCCCAGCATTTTGGGAGGCCAAGGTGGGCGGATCATGAGGTTAGGAGTTCAAGACCAGCCTGGCCAACATGGTAAAACCCTGTCTCTACTATAAATACAAAAATTAGCCAGGCGTGGTGGCCTGTGCCTGTAATCCCAGCTACTCAGGAAGCTGAGGCAGGAGAATCACTTGACCCCAGGAGGCACAGGTTGCAGTGAGCTGATATCACACCATTGCACTCTAGCCTGGGTGACAGAGTGAGACTCTGTCTTTAAAAAAAAAAAAAAAAAGATTCCTTTATTCTTAATAGCATTTTGCATATGTATTTTTCTTTGTATTTTCTGTAGTTTTATTAAGTTGGATGCTGCATTTCTTTTTTTTTTTTTTGAGACAGAGTCTTGCTCTGTTGCCCAGGCTGGAGTGCAGTGGCCGGATGCAAGCTCTGCTTCCCGGGTTTACACCATTCTCCTGCCTCAGCCTCCCAAGTAGCTGGGACTACAGGCGCCCACCACCTCGCCCAGCTAGTTTTTTTTGTATTTTTTAGTAGAAACGGGGTTTCACCGTGTTAGCCAGGATGGTCTCGATCTCCTGACCTCGTGATCCACCCGTCTCGGCCTCCCAAAGTGCTGGGATTACAGGCTTAAGCCACTGCGCCTGGCGATGCTGCATTTCTTAAACTTATAAATAGGCACCTGTTTACACTTACGTTTTTCATACACTTAAATTTTTCATACCAAATAACTCTGATATTAATGTCGGTACCACTGCTTGCTTGCTTTTTGGATTTCTTATGTAAATAGATGAGTTTTAAAAAGTTAGGTTATACATTCACATTGTTTAAAAACCATATCAAGCCCCACCCCCCATGCTGTGTGTAAGCATCTTCCTTCCTGTGCAACAGTCTCACACGTTCATGTGGCTGGTAGCACACACCCCTTACGCACCCCCACCCTGCCCACCATTCTTCGTAGTTTCTTTTTGTACTGTTCCAAAATTTTCTCAAGCATCTATAAATGAATGAGAATACATTTTTCTACATGAAGGCCTTCCCTCAATTTTTGTAACATTCTCAGTAACAAATGAGATACACGTTGATATTTACCTTTAGACTATTTATTGGGTTTAATATTTGTAACAATAATTTTTTCTACTGAAATAGCAGGTTGTGTTTACCTGTCAAACCCCAGTATGAGAGATGTGTACAAAAGCAACAGACTGATATAAAAAGGTACGTGAAAAAATTAGCAAACCAAAGCATGATAAATGGACGAAGCACTATAAAATTACTGTGCTGGTTTACGTAACTGTATCTTTAATGTATACTGTGCTAAATAGCCTATAGCCACGTTTTAAAGAGTTCCAGGAACAATTGCCACACATTCAAAGAACAAGCATTCACTACAGCCTCCCGATTTGACTTGATGGGAGGGACAGGAGAATGAGTCACTCTGCCACCACTTTTCCTGCCTTGGATTTGTAGAGGATTTTTTTTTTTTTTTTTTGGTCTAATTTGTTTTTCCTATCACTGCCCTACTAATGGACCTGCTTATAGGCCATGAAAATAAAATGCCATTCAACTTTTTTTGTAAAACTAAAATAATCACATGGTACTTATTCTTTGGAGGATTTAATATGTGCTAAATGGAGGACTAGAGAGTTACCTTATAGGAGAATCACGGGAAACAGAGAAACTGCTTTTTGAAGACGATGTGGAAGGTCAGGATGGGTTCCAGGGCATTCAACCTGGAAGAGCTGAATAGCTTTACATTGAGAATTACTTTGTGTTAAATCTTCTGGCCATCATTATCCATTGTTGGATATTTTAACAATTTTATAGTTATTCTTTTCAATTTTTCTCATATGAAACTGTAAATGGCTGTACTAGAAGCTGTCATTACTGTTCCAAAAAGTGAAGGGGATTTTCTCTACAAAAGGAAAGAAAATGGCACATTCACATGTAGGTAAGTAGCTTCTGGAAACATCTTCACTGCACAGAAATGGTTCTCAGCATGAGGCTCCCAAACTTTCTTAGAGTGCCATTCATTTTAGTATCAGAGTTTTGAAATAGGTTTAAAAGCAATAGATGTCAATAGGAACTTTAAGGTGAGTTAAGAGAATTTTGTAATTATAAGTTGATTTTCTATGGCTAACTTCCCCTTCTAATTAGAACAAGACATTGGGTGGGAGGTCCTCTGCTGGACTCAGGCTGGTGGGGTTGCTCTGGGCTGTGGCCCTGGAGAAGGTTGGGCTTTGGGCATCCCTTGGGTGGGCCTTGTAGGGACAGCCACACACTGCAGCAGTCACCACTTTGGCTGATCTAAAGTGGCAACGGAAATAGCAATTTGACTGTCACAAACTGGAGATGCATTGGCCTGGGGTTTGACCCGGGAAAGGGGCTTGTGTCTGGGTGATAGGGAAAGGTAAACAGATGTATTGGCCACTGGCTTCCTGTGGGCAGCTGTGTTGAATCAGCCTGCTGCTGAGTCACAGGGAGTAACTGCAGCTGCCTAGGGCTGGCTTCTAGCATGGGAGAGGAGGAGGAAAGGGGTCCTGCAGTGTCCCCCAGCAGCCAGTCATCGTGTGTGAAACTCCTAGCCTGAGAGCCCCACCTCTGGTCAGCACTAGTGTTGGGAGACTTCTGGGAGGGTTTATGACTTTGAGCTGGGTAACTGGTGTCTGGCTGGGGCCATCTTGAGCGCAGTGAGGAAGGATCTCCAGCCTGAGTGTGCCATGGGCAGTGAGGAAGGATCTCTCAGCCTGAGTGATACGTAGGGGAGCCCTGCATATAGCAGTTTTGAAATGAGTACGCCTCACGAGGAAAGTCTGCAAGAGGTCAGGGTGCATGAGAAAGATCTGGCCCTGCTGCCCTGTCACTGCCTTGTACCCTTTCTGCTGCTGGGGGTCTCATTGGCTCAGAGTGCTTAGTAAACATCAGTGGCAAAGGGGCAGGAGGACACTCAGCCCTACCAGTCGGCCCAGCACCAGGCTCTTTATAGCACCGTGGAGACCATAGGCTCCTAAGAACATTCTGATACAGTGTTAGCAGGGTTTTTTTTTTTTTTTTTTTTTTTTTTTGAGGATGCATTGATGTATTGATTTGCCAGGGAACAATGGCCTATAGTTCAGCCTGAGAATTCTCATAAAGTTAAGAAGGCATAGAAATGTCCCCCCCGAGACTCGTCAGGAGTACTCACTCTCCTACAGTTTAATTTGCTGCTTTTGTGGTTTCTGTGATGTCATCCCACATGTGTAAGCTGGAAAAATCTACCCTGGGAAGTGTAACCTCCTGTGTGTATTTCCACAATGGAGAATGTTAGGCTTCGTTTCCCTCGGTTGCTACACATCTGATTACATTTGTCAGGAAAACAAACTTAAAAAATTTCAGGAGACAAACCTTTCAGTGGAATTGCCTGGAACCTATGAATTGAGGTCATAGAACCTACAACTGTAAGAAGATGTAGGAAGAAAAGTGGCCTCTGGGCTACTTTGTGTCTAGTCGCATTGACTTTCCAGGTGATGGCCTTACAAAACTCAAACCGCCTCTATTATTCATGCCTATACAATCTTTAAAAAAACACTAGATTGCCAGTGAAATACATAAGTATTAATTTTTTGTTGTTTTGAGGATATAAAAAGGAGTACTCCACCCCCTGCCTCCCCCCACCACAAAACACCCTGGTTATTGGTTCGTTTCCTAAGTTACGAATTTGCTGTTAAATATACTTCACTTGATAAATATTGCATCTTGGAAGGATTAATACTGTCTGTATTGTAAGGGAATATTAGTTTAAATATGTTCTTATTCAGAAATAAAATGCATGGCTCTATAAAAACAAATTAGTACTGTAGAGATAAGAATGTGTCATCAGCCACGGCCCCTAAGTGGCCATTGATGACATGGCCTAAGATCACAGTTTTAACCTCCTTTAATATCAAACTCTTCCTGGCTCTCTGAAATAGAAGCATAGGAATAACAGCTAAGAACAAACAACAAAAGAAAAACTCAATTCATATCCTCTTATAATAGGAGGAAGGGCTAACATGCCAGATCTAAGGATTTGGGCATCTAAAAAGACAATGCCCCCATAATGCACCATAAAATTCTGTAAACCTTTTTAATAGTGTGTGTATATATATATATATATGTTTGGCCTTAGTACAATTACCAAGTGTAATATCAGTTACAGTAATTCTGTATGTATCTCAGCAGTATTATTTTCCAGCATGGCTTTACATTTTTAAGAACTTAACTATAGAATAAACAGATGCATGCTATAAGAGTTGGAATGTATTAGAGCTAGGTTCCCTTTTGTGTGTGTCTGTGTCACATGTTTACTTAGTTTATCCCATAGTCATGAATACTATGTTGCCTAGATACAGTGGGGAACACCAGGAAAGTGAGATGCAGTTTTGTTTTCTGGAAGGCAAACCAAGATTCTTGGTACATATTTTTCTTTCTGTTTCAAGGCATAGGAAAACTGTTGACCCCCAAAAGAAGCCCTTCTCATAATACACTCAGAGTGAATTACGTAACTGTTGTCAATTGTCTTCTAATGTGAAAACCAGTCATACATGACCCCTCCAGAAGACACTTCTCACTCCAGAAGTGAGAGGCATCATGACATTTTACTTTATCTGAGTATTTTTGTATTTCTCATGCCATTAGTCATCTTAAAGACCTTGTGAAACATGGCTCCCTAGTCAGGCATTTGAAGAGTGAAAAGTTCAAGGGGATGCTGCCCAAGCCAGCATTCACACATATTTAGGAAGTTGATAAGCAGGTTGATTTCTTTATCACGTTCTGTGATGCTCAACAGGTAGGTTACAAGTGTTTAAGAAATAGGTTCAGACTCTGTTAAAAGCATCTTTTAAAGATTCCTGCAGCCAAGTTGGAAAAAGAGGATGCCCCATAGAGAAGGCTGTTTGTCCAATATCTACGAATAATGATAGCAGACGTGAGCTATACCCATGAATATCACATTCCATTTGGTTGCAGTTTTTGCAAGCATAAAGAGTCTGCCTAATTTTCAATAAGTTGAACTTTGCAGTAAAAGGAGATTTTTAAATTGACAGACTTGATTGACTAGATCTGGTGAATGGTTCACATCTGAAAATAGTTGTGGTCCCATGGAAAGCCTCATCTGTCTGAATATATGATCGTTGTGTTACAGTTTGTGGTGATGTGCTCGGCTCCAAGCAGTACAGGGAGGTGGTGGTTTGCAGTGCCTGGGCAGTAGGTTTCTTGTAGAAACACCACCTTTCCCAGTCTAAATAACCTACTGGTGGCAGTGCTCTAGAAAGGACAGCCAGAAAAAGAAGTGCTTGGCATTTCTATCAAGCACAGCCTTGAGCCAAACATGCTCACGGCTGGCCAACTCAGGGTCAAGTTCCAGCCTGTCTAGTGTTCCAGTCTCTATCCTTGTGTGGCTATACCTTAAAATTCCTGTCTGCAACCCAGGTTTCTCTCCAAAACTTACTGGCCAGAAGCCAGATTTCTACCTGCTGTCCCAGAGCTGTCCCTGGGAGCTTGCCTGCCAGTTGTCAAGGGGCACAGGGCCTCCCTGAAAGCCAGACACAGCCTGGACCTGAAGCCCCTTGGCTCTGGCCTGAGATAGGGAATCTAGAACATCAACTGAGGTTCCACTTGGGGTCTCTTGAGCTGCATCTGGTACCATAAGCACAGCTGGGGGTAGGTGGGGGACTGCTTTCCAATAAGGCCTTGATCAGAAAGCAAACACATCCTGTCCAGAATCCCATCAAGCAGGATATTTCAAGTTCACTAAAATACTAAAAGCACAACAAGCCTTCCGCCATGGAAAACTCAGTGATGGTAAAAATGCCTACCACAGCGCACTGCACTGTAGTCAACATTCTGCATAAATTAATAATTTACAAGTACCTGAGCAAGTAGACAGAGCACCATAGCACAGCATAGCACTGACGGCAGTAGCTCAAAGTTCTTATAGTAATGATGTTTTAAACATTAAAAAAATCCTAAAAGTTGGTACAAAAAAACTCCAACTGGAGCTGAAAGATAGTGCAAACTTCTGTCTTCACTGTTGAAAAAAGGTGTTGGCTTCTCACTTCATGTAGGCGGTGTGGGTGGATCTGGGCACTTGGTGTGGATATTGTGGAGCAGGTCTGAATGAAGAGAGGAGGAAAAGATCAGAGCCCTTGAGAAGGTGATTCTGAGGATAGAGAGGTCTGGGGTTGGAGATATATTCTGACAGGCTGAAGGGTTTTCTGTGTCAGATAGCACTGCCCCTCATAGCGGTGGTGGGAGACCTCTCTCCAAAGCTGCACTTCCCACCCACAAGTCGGCTCTAGAACAGCACTGTTCCACAGAAAAAATGTGAGCTACACAAGAAATTTTCTAGTAGCTACATGAAAAAAGTAAAGAGAGAAGTGAAATTAACTTCAGTAATACATTTAACTCAGTACACCTAGAGGATTATTTCAACAGGTCATCAATAGAAAAAAAATGATAGTTGACATTTTAGGGTACTAAGTCTTCAAAATACAGTAAGACTTTTACCAGGCACAACATGCCTAGCAGTCCCTGTATCCCGCAGCACAGCTCCAGAGAACAGGGAGCAAAGGTGGGTACCCAGTATCCCTCAAAAATGAAATGTGCAGGACAGGACCAAAATCAACTGACAGAGGTAAGATCGGCCACGGCTTGAGGGCATTTCCGAAAAAGGGCTTCCCCTCAATGTGTTCATGTAGTGTTTCTTCCTCAAACAGAACAAGAACAATAACTTCAAGATCAACATGCAAACCACAATGAAATAATTAGGATGCTGCACAATTTTTCTCTATTTATGCAGTCAGGAATTAAGCAATTGTCCTGACCCTTTGACCGCCTTTATCTCTGAGATTTATTAGGCAGCTCTTTCTTTCACAGGCCAAACATTCTTCCCAAGAGCTGCAATGAAATCACTCCAGTGTGTCTTCTCCTTCAGAGATACTGAACCTAGGGCCTGGCCAACACAGTACCTTTGGTTCTTTTGAGCTCATAAAGCAGGCTTCCTGCCAAGAGGGCATGTGTGTCAGAAGAGTGCTTTGGCTTGGGTTTAACTCAGCTGTGTGCTGGTAAATGTTTAACAGCCCATGGGGTTGGGGGCAGGAAAGCCTGATTTGCAGTGTTTGCCGATTTCCATGGTGTACATACTCCCCCTGTGGCTGATTTCAAGCTACCACCTGATGTCACTAAACATGGAAGAGATGCAGGCAGCTACCATGACCTAGGTTTTCTGCCTTACAGAAATAATGGTCAAGTGCAATCTCAAGAGCACAGATAATTACAGCAAAATGGAGATTAAAACATGAAGTGAGTTTTGAGCACTTATTACCTTTGTTTCTAATATAACTTATAAATTTGTATAACTGAATCCTTACTATTGGCTAGGTTTAAATTCCTGGAAATTTGTTAGCTCTCACCAACCAGGGTGAGCTGGCTCCTCCACACCATGAGGTTAGCTTCCCAGCACAGGTTGGGATTGAGGTCTCTGCCTTTCTAGTGGACCAAGCAGAAGTTGTGAAAGGTGATTCCTTTTGCCCATTGTCCCTGTTTTCCCAGCGTCCTGCTGCTGGGCAGCTGCTTTGCCTTACTCCCTATATGTCCCTTGCTCCCGCTGTGTGCCTCCAACCCAACTAATGTCTCAGGGCCTCATGGACTGGGCAGAGTCTGCTGAGAGTTGTGGAGGTGGGCGTTGAGATGGTTTGAATCTGTGTTCCTGCCTCAGTCTCATGTCAAATTGTAATCCCCAAAGTTGAAGGTGGGGCATGGTGGGAGGTGACTAGATCACGGAGGCAGATCCTTCCTGAATGGTTTAGCACCTCCCCCTTTTCTCTTTCTCCTGCTCCAGCCATGTGAAGTGCTGGCTTCCCCTTCTGCCATGATTGTAAGTTTCCTGAGGCCTCCCCAGAAGCATATGCTGCCATGCTTCGTGTACAACCTATGGAACTGTGAGCCAATTGAAACTCTTTTATGAATTACCCCGTCTTAGGTATTTACAGCAATGTGAGAATAGACTAACACAGGTGTCCAGTCTTCATACTGTCATGCTACTTGGTAGCTCTTTTTCTTTGTGTCTTACAGGCCTGGCTTTCTCAGGTACTGTAGTTTTATGGCATCTTGATTTGCTCTCTTAGGTCCACTGTGGCTGTTGATAGGCACTGTGTGGTGATGCCTGTGATTATAAGCTCGTGGACTGCTTCCTTCCCAGTAATTGTCATGTCTATTTTATGGTATTCCCAGTTGTAGGGGGAGCAGGAAGCATGGCCTAGACAACTGCACCCCTGTCCTGGCTTGGATTAGCCGTGGTCGGTCCTGCAAGGGTTTGAGAGAGAAAGAGATAGACATGGCGTGTCACACAAACCTGAGGGGTGCCAGGCGGAGCCCAGTCTCCCGCTGTCCTGGGGTCCTGGCCAAGGCATGGGTGAGCCGAGTTCTGGCCAGAGGATCTGCAGGCAGAGGCTTCTGAGGGGGGTTTGGCTTACAGGACCCCTGCAACAAACATAGCGTTAACTTTCCAGGAGCCAGCAGAAGCCCCTGAGAAGCAGGGCCTGCCACTTGGCACAGGCCCCGATTCCTGAATATCATCCTCTCACCATACAAGGTGGGTGGAGGCTGAGCTCTGTTAACCTTCTTGCCAAAATTTTCTCTAACATTTAAGACTTATCCATGGATCACAGTTATAAACACTCGACTGTGGGGCTTCTGGGCTGTCCCTGGGCCCTGGGGTAGAGTTGATGTTGGGGTTTCTCTGCCAATGTCACCCTGAGAACACACACTTTCCTGTGCTTTCTATTCACCCTAAAATGAGAAGTTGGTGGAAATCTTTTCAACATCACATTCATTTCTTCAGTTTTGCCAACATCACATAGCAGGACTCGTTTATCTGTGGGTGGATTAGATGGTGAGGATGGTCGTGCTCAGTCGGCCACGTGCAGGCGCTGTTCCACATGTTGCTCCAGATGGCTCCGTGAAATGCACCGAAGTTCCTCCACTAAATACTTTCTCATAAGCTCAAAGAATCGATGCAGTGGTCTGAGGGACAAGTCAAGTTTTGTAAACACACTAAGGGGGCAGGGCTGTATTGACCAGAAGCCAGTGAGGGAGTTGGCCAGGGAAGGTGGGTTATTCCACGCTGGGTTTTAGCCAAAAATGCTTTGGGACTTGTGCAAGTCACTTGACCTCTTTCTCTGGAAAATGTGGGGAAAAAGACCTATCTCAGCATTGTTATGAGGATTAAAGAAAATAATGCATAGACAGTTCCCAGCACACACTTAATATTTATTAATATCAGCATTCCTTCATGCCACAATTTAAAAATGTTTAATAGAAATAGAAAAACAGCAGGGCGAGGTGGCTCATGCCTGTAATTCCAGCATTTTGGGAGGCCGAGGTGGGCGGATCACCTGAGGTCAGGAGTTCGAGACCAGGCTGGCCAACATGGTGAAACCGCATCTCCACTAAAAATACCAAAAAATTAGCCTGGCATGGTGGCATGTGCCTGTAATCCCAGCTACTCGGGAGGCTGAGGCAGGAGAATCACTTGAACCCAGGAGGCGGAGGTTGCAGTAAGCTGAGATCGTGCCACTGCACTCCAGCCTGGGTGATAGAGCAAGACTCCGTCTCAAAAAAAAAAAGTGTAAGAACACATGCCGTTTTTTTTGGGGGCCCCTCCTGTGGATACACATGAGGGGTTCATTGGAGCTGTGTCCAGAAGTCAGTGTTGGACACATCTTTGCTCTGGGCCCCAGGTGAATGTGGGTGCCATGTCTTGTCCTTGGAGCCTGGATATTCATCTTCATGAATGCATAGAACGTCTGTCAGAAATGGTGCTAGAGGCCGGGCGCGGTGGCTCAAGCCTGTAATCCCAGCACTTTGGGAGGCCGAGGCGGGCGGATCACAAGGTCAGGAGATCGAGACCATCCTGGCTAACACAGTGAAACCCCGTCTCTACTAAAAAATACAAAAAACTAGCCGGGCGAGGTGGCGGCGCCTGTAGTCCCAGCTACTCGGGAGGCTGAGGCAGGAGAATGGCGTAAACCCGGGGGGCGGAGCTTGCAGTGAGCCGATATCGCGCCACTGCACTCCAGCCTGGGGCACAGAGCAAGACTCCGTCTCAAAAAAAAAAAAAAAGAAATGGTGCTAGAACCTCCAGGGAGACAGAACACCCCTAATAATGAAATGCTCCAATTCACCATCATAGGACCCAGTATTCCTTATATCTAGCAACACTCAACAATGATTTCAAACACTTGAGTTGAATTTCTCTCACAGTGCCAATCACATGAAATGACATTCAGCAGTTGGGGCTCAGCTGAAAGAATGCAACAATATAATCACCATTTAACATATCTTTGTAAAGCAAAGGAAGCTACCACAGAAGTCTGTAGACCACAGGTGTGTGGAAGATAAGCTGAGTTGGAACAATGGACACATTGGGCTAGGAAAAAGTCCCTGAACAAGGGACAGACTTAGAAGTGACATTTCTACATTAGTTTTCATTAAAGGAAACATCAAATAGAAAAAAATCCCCCAGCTCAGAATAAAGGCCGTATAATGTGCCCAAGAGCATGGTTTGTTTATATATTCAACCAGCTCCACATACACACAGCGTCCTCACTGGTAGAGAGGGGATGGTCATAGTCCCTTCCTCCCAGGTGGATGTGAAGGTTAAATGAGATATTGAGGCTCCTAACACAGGGCCTGGCATGCAGTAACCCATGAGTGTTAGCTGCTGCTGGATTACAGTTATTAATGGAGTGAATTTACCACCAAAAAGCACTGTAACCCTACTAACAAACTTTGGATAATTAAGGTAACAAATCAAGCTCCCTTTCCTATAGCTAACAGAAAACCATGAGCAAGACATTAGTGTGTCATGTAAAAATGGATGTATGCACTCATCAAATTGAAATAAGCAATACTAGTTTTGCTGCTAAGTATGACTAAGCTGTCTTGACAATAAAGATAACGTCAGGTTTTTATTGCAAGGCTGGAGGAAAAAGTGAGGTATCACAATATATTTGAATTTATCATGGAAACATAGGAGATAATTAGGTTAGCCGTTCATTCTAGTTTGCCTGGGACATTCGCAATTTGTTTATCGTCCTGTTTAATTATTAATCACTCTCAGGCATGTCTCCTACGTTAGAAGATAAATTATATGGTCACCATAGTGAAGAAAACTCAAATGGCTGAGATGCTGATTGAAGGGTCTGACCTCCAACCTGGGTATCAGTGCAGGCACCATCTGCTTCCTCTAGCCATGGCCAGGACATAGTTTGGATGGAAGCATGAGACAGGTTGCAAGCAAAGATGTTGCCTAGGTAAGATGCTGGCTTCCTGCCAGGGCTTAACTGGGACAGAATGACCATGGAACAGTGGGGTTAGTCCAAGAAGATGTGCCTTCACGTCTTAGACATTAGGCATGGAGGTGTGGAACCTATGATGCAAGAAGCACCAGCTGCACATTTTGACCTTGGAGGAAGGGGTGAAATTGCCATGCTCTCTTTTAGGTATTGCTTTTCATTCTGCCTTTGCAAAACCTAAACCTGAACCTGTCCCAGAGAAGTTCAGTGTGATCACCAAGCATCATCTGAAGGGAGCTGAGAAATGACTCTAGGCAGATCACTCACACATGATAAACATTTCTTTAAATCTATTTTCATTTTAAACAAGGAAATGAAGAATTCAAACCTCATTCTTATGCCCTCTTAACTTCTTCCAGATATTGAAGAAAAATCCAGGTATGCTATTAAATAGGGCTGTTCCATTCTTCTATTTTCTGCTCATGTTCTGGTAATAGCCACATATTTCAAATTTTTTAGAGGTTTCAAAACAATTTTAAATCCAAATATAACCACTTGGCCTTGACCAGCATCATGAAGAAGTCTCAGCTGTTATCAACTTCACATGGTAAACGAGAGTAAACATGCCCTGCTTATCCAGAGAAATCTCTGCAGGAAGACTGGAATTCATCACAGGAAAATGCCAGAGATGCCCCGGAGATCCCTGGTGAGCTCATGCAGGGCTGGGGCGGCATCAACATGTTTCACTGCAAATTCGGTCTACCTCTAGCTAAAAACAGTTGTGGGAATTATGGCTATAGATCAGAATATAAATGTTGCAAACCCTGATGTAGGTATCATGGAATTTGCCAAAGTTGACAGGCCTTCCATTTCCAGTAACATGGCAGGCTCTGTTTTTGTGCTGTACCCCTTCTCTGATAACCACCAAGAGTTACAAGGCAGTAAATGTTTAAATCTAAGTGAAAGCAGCAGCTTGGAATAGTAACTGAAGATGGAGGCATCTGGCAAGTTAGGGAAACCTAAATGTGGGTTTTGATACTCTTTCACAGTGAGGAATACAGAAATCCAACCGAGGTCAAGACGTGGGCAGAAACCAAATGTCCAAGTCTAGTGAGAGATAATTCTCTTCCCGACTCCTCTCCATTCAAGTTGGGCTCTACAGACGAGACCTCAGGTTAAGAATCTTCTAGAAGTAAATGCATACTATAATCTATCCCCAGGTTACTATAAGGAGCATTCTTCTGGTGCTTGACAGACCAAGGGAGGAAAATAAACCTGTCCCACAAATTTTCCTTGAGGACTTGAAGCTGAAATCACATCACCTGAGTAGTTCAGTAAGCTCCAAGCCATTTGAAGTGGTCTCAAACTGGCACTGCCCCCAGGCACCTGGCAGAGGCAAAATAACCCTTTATGGAAGAACACACCTGCATCCTAGGCCTCGAAGAACTATAATTTAAAAAATGAACTCATGGGAAAAAAGGCATACAAGGAAACAAGGCACCAGGAGTGAGAAGTGATAGAAACTTCAGCAGTAACATATCCAAAGACTTCATATTTTGGGATTACTGGAAAAAGTTTTCTTACTATGTTTAAAGAAATGCAAGACAAGCTAGCATAGTTGAATTAGAACCAAAGAGAACTTCTAGAAGCAAAAAAAGTACAACATAGATGAGTGCAAATTGCATGAAGGTAAGTACAGTTTGATACCATTATGTAAAGTTTAAAACACAATACTCATGGATACATATTTATACACAAATATTCAAAATATTCTATTAAATCAGCAAACTTACAACAGTGATTGTATCTGGAGGGAGGCTAATGTAGTGACTTTAATGTTTTACTTTTTTAAAAAAGTGATAGAGTATGCATATTTCTGAAATTTAAATAGGCACATACATCTAGAAAGATGTGAAACTGGTTATTTCTATATAGAAGAAATGTGAGTAAATTTTAGTTTTTTACTTTTCTATATTTTAAATATTTTAAAAACAAAATAAGTTCAATCTTTGGGCCAAGGAGGAAAACAGAAGAGAACATGTAGACTATTTAAAAAATATAAAATACACTACAACTTGGAACCAGTGAGCAAGGTAAGGCAATGTTTAAAGGAAAGTTCCTAATAATATTTTCAGGTAACTATCACAAAGTCCCAAAAGGCAAGTACTATTATTTCACATTTGT